TTTTTTCTTCCTGATGTTCTGATTGGGTGTTTTTCTGCCTCCTTATCTTCCAAATAGCTGCTTTGATCCTCTGCTTTGTCTACTCTACTGTTGATTTCCTGTAATATATTTTTCATTTCACTTATTTTATTCATAATTTCTGACTGGTTCTTTATGTTTTCTATCAGCATTTTAATGTTTCCTATCTCTTTTTTGATGTTCCTACTAAGTTCATCTACTCTTCCCCTAAGTTCATTGAGCATCCTTATAACCAGTGTTTCGAACTCTGCATCTTGTCTTTGTTTTATTTAGTTCTTTTTCTGGAGTACTGTTCTTTCCTTTGGGACACACTCCTTTGTTCCCTCATTTTGGCAGCCTCTGTGTTTGTTTCTGTGTATTAGATAGAGCTGCTGTATCTCCCAGTCTTGGTAGAATGGCCTGACGTGGCACAGCCTTCCTGGTCACCTGAGCGGCATGCTCCTGGTATGCACCTTCCAGTTGTAGTTGAGCCTTGATTATTGTTCGCTTGTCAATGGGAAGGATTTACCCCCAGGCCAATCAGCTGAGAGGATTAGTTGCACCACACTGGAGCAGCTGCTATGTAGGGGCTGACTCCACAGAGAGGACTCACTTCAGCAGGGCTCTGATGCCCAGTGAATCCCCGCCTTGAGTGTTTTGTCTGTGGAGGTAATTGGGCGGTGTTCTGGCATTGTCTGAAGCTGTCCACTGGTGCACTCGCTCTTGGTTGTCTTGGGAGGTGCAGGCCACGGTAGCCACTTGCCTGTGCCTTGCACAGGCCACCCAGCATGAGCTACAAAGCAATCTGCAGATAGCTGCTACTTGTGCTGGGCTTGGAGGTGCCCAGAAGAGGCCCAGCTGCAAACCAAGGCCGGCTTCTGCTAGTGCCAGACTTGGGCCACTTAGCAAGGGTATGGGCATGCTCAGCCCAGATGCTGCTTGTTTGGGGTTTATGGCTCTTTAAGAGGTTTTAGAAAAGTCCCCAGCATGAGCAAAGACAGTCTGTTTGCTTGGAAAAGCCATTGGAAAGGCTTGGATGGGGCTGCAAGTTGCCATTCATTCATACTTTTATTGGATGCCTAATGGAGGTCAGGTATGGTTCCAGGGACTGTGGAGACCCGAATACACAACACATGTGAAATAAGTGACTATAGGAAGGGAAAAGAGAGGTTTTACTCTAGCAAGCAGACAGGCTGTAACTAAGTAGGTAAGAGATGTCAAGTGATTAGTGCTATGAAAAAAGAATGGCAGGTACACAGATGGAACATGGCAAAGCATGCTGTGCTCTTTTAGAGCAAGGACTCGAGGACCCTTTGGTCAGATGAGTTTCGATCAGACTTCTGGAAATCTCAGGGTAGACCGTTTCTGATTGGCCTGGCCCCCTTTCTTTCTTGGGGGAGGGATATTCAAGTGTCAGTGAAAAGAGTGAAGCAGGGACAGTGCTACCTGGCTTGATTGAAGCCAGGCATTTGTTCACAGGAGACATTTTCTTAAATACATTTCACTTTATAAAATCCTTTATTTAAGATCTCTGATTTAAATTCCTTCAGAAGCCTGGGTAAAAAGTATACTCCTTCTGAACTTCCCAAAAGCTTAATTAAAGAAGAATGAGAAAAGTGGGTTTTTTTTTGCAAGCTTTATGCAACCAATTAAAGGATGTAAATGCTGCTCTTGGATTTCGCTGCTTTTCACCCACTTCAGTTCTCTTGGACGAAATATGAGCAGCCTGTGACATGTAAACAGGCCACAACTGTGGGAAGCGCTGGGGTGATATGGACCTTGGGAAACGTTTGTAAATAACCAGAGTGATGAGGAAATCAGCTCCTTCTTGATCAGCTGGACTTCCGGTTGTGTGTTAAAATGTCAGCCACCTCAAATACCAAACAGGTCCCCCTGGACAAGCACTGCCAGGCCTTCTGTGACCGCTTCGTACAGAGCCCTGTGGTAACTCCCCTGGGGGCCCTCACACGGCCGCTCCCCCTGCGGCTGCCCACCCGCAGGTCCTGGACGTGAAGCGCGGGCAGCCGAGTCCTCCCCTTCCCTCCGCGTGGCCACCACAAAGAGCAACTCCTATTTCAGGCATGCGCGGTGGGGTGGAGCGAAGCGCACTCTGAGGGAATCCACGGCTGTTGGGAGTGAATCGCTGCTGGTTTCTCCGATCAAAGAGCGCGGCCGGGACCCTGCTACGGGATTCACACACATACCTCAGAATGCCGGGTCTAAGTTGTAGATTTTATCGACACAAATTTCCTGAGGTGGAAGATGCAGTGATGGTGAATGTAAGAGCCGTTGCTGAAATGCGGGCGTACCCGTGAGCCTGCTGCAGTGCAACAATGCCAAAGAGGCACGATTCTTCTTCGTGAGTTGTCTGGAAGGCGTACTCGTTCCGTAAACAAACTCCTCCGAATTGGCAGGAATGAATGTGTGGTTGTCATTAGAGTGGACACAGAAAAAGGATACACTGATTTGCCAAAAAGAAGAGTTTCTGCAGAAGAAGCAATAAAATATGAAGATAATTTCACCAAATCCAAAACTGCTTGCAGCATTCGTCACGTTGCTGAGGTGTTGGAGAACGCCAAGGATGAGCCGCGGGAAAGCCTGCTCCAGAGGGCTGCTTGGGACCTTGACGACAAGTACAAGCGACCCGGATATGGTGCCTATGATGCATTTAAGTATGCAGGCTCAGACCCATCTATTTAGGATAGTTTAGATTTGAATGAAGATGAACAGTACTTGTTAACACTATTAACAGGCGTTTGACCCCACAGGCTGTCAAAATTCAAGCAGATATTGAAGTGGCTTGTTATAGTTACGAAGGCATGGATGCTGTAAAAGAGGCCCTGAGAGCAGGTTTGAATTGTTTCACAGAAACTGTGCCCATCAAGCTTAATCTCCCAGCTCCTCCCCAGTATGTGAAGACTACAAACCCTGGAGAGGAGGAGAGGACAGAAGGTCTCTTCGACCTCAAACTATGGCTGTTATTAAAGAAAACATTGAAGAAAAGAGGAGTGTCTTTAATATTCAGATGGAGCCCAAAGTGGTCACAAATTCAGATATACCAAACTTGCAAGGCAGTGGGAAAGGCTTGAGAGAGAAAATGCAGAAGTGAATGGAGATGATGGTGCAGAAGAAATGGAAGCCAAAGCTGAAGATTAATGTTGTGGGAAACAAGAGTCCAGTTTAAGGAACACAAAACAGCCCCTCTGGCTATAAACCCTAGACTTAAAAGTTTTCCAGTATTGAAAACTTCAAAGTTGAATATTTTTTATTTCCAAGTATTTAAATGTTCTAACAGACCAAAATGTGAAATGCCCTCCTGAAATGTCAGTTGTTTTCACACAGTAGCTCCAACACATTGAACACTTTTAAGCAAACAGTCATAAAATTGGGTTTTCCATTTCTGATGTGTCCAGATTGACGCCCCTTTGTAGCTCAGTGGCTCCGTCTAACTTACCAGGGGCACTCAAAGCAAATAGTCCCAACCTTTCTATATAAATGTATCAAGCAAACATTAAATAAATTTCTGGGATATTAAAAAAAAAGGAGCAACTTATTATTTTAAAACTATGTGGTTTCCAATGTCTGGCAAACTTGCCGACTGTCCCTGGAGGACTGCTGCATAGTGACACCCAGTGACAGCCTGAGGAGCCCCTAGAAATGGCTCTGAAGCTCCCACATTTACACTCAGTCACTGTGATGGAGGCGCAGGGTCCCTTGATCTTATTTTATGCTTTGCAGACTGGAATTTTCCCTTTCAAACCAAACCTTACTGTTCTTTATAACATTTTATCTGAATAAATTAAAGAGTAGGGGAGAGAAGTGAGTGTGGATCACATGGAGCAACTTGCCTTAGGGACAGGTGTGTACATGGCATAGATAAAAATAGATTAATTTGAAACAAGTTAACCACCAATTTAGCCAGTTTTCCTCAAAGACAGAGGAAATAATTATCACAAAACTGTAAGTAGCAGATATAATCTTTAATTCTAATTGTTCAGAAACAATCCTGATACCTTCTAAGTCACAACTTTTAAAACTAGTAATAGGGTTAAATAGCTTGGGTTAAGATTTTGTCCATGTTAAATAAGGCTACCTTTTAAAGTACTTAATTGTGGTTCACAAATATCAAGGTGTGTCTACATGGCTTTCGTGATTGTCACAACAAACCCTCAACAGGTAGGGGTCTCTGGGTTTAAAAGTTCATTCCAACGTGTAGAAATAAAAACAAGGTGCCCAGAGGTTAGGGCTCAAAGACAAATGTTTCAGAAGCCCACCCGACACATGAGAAATCGGAACCCAAGTCTCTGTCCCATGTCTGCTCCCCATAACCCCTCCAAGATGTTTAAATAATGATTGAAATAATCTCCGGACATCAATAAATTCATGTGATATGTAAGCTTTCTAATAAAACAGTTTTATAGTTTTTAGAATAAAATTACTTTATTTGAAAATTTAAAAATTTACCAGTTACTATTCCAATGGCTTCCACATTAAAAAGGTAACAAGATGTAAAATTAATTTAAATATACTTTATTTAATTCAGTATATCCAAATTTTATCATTTCAACATGTAATCAATATTTAAAAGTATTAATATTAATAAAAATATTCTTTTTTTAATATTAAGCCTTCAAAATCTGATGTGTCTTTTACACTCTAATTCTTAGTTCAGATGCTAAATTTTCATTCAAAATCCTTGCTCTGTATTTAGATTTCATAAGGTTGACATTTGGAGAGGCCAATTCATACACCCAAGTTATTCCAAGCATACTTAAAATTTTCCAGTAACTGAGTTAAGAATTAATTTAAATAAACTTTTTTTTTTTAAATAAAAAATCACTTCCTCAGTTGCACTAGCCAGTCCAAGTGCTCAAGAGTGACAGGGGGCCAGCGGCTGCTGCGCTGAACCGAGCTGTCTGAGAGCCTTGGGAGTTTGCTCTTCGCACAGCGGTGTCACTCTTAACAGGACAGCACTTGGGGCAGACATTGTTCCATCTCTCTCCGAATTAAATAACTTTCCTGTAGCTTAAATTATCCACTGTCTCATCAACATATTATAATTAAACTTTTCTTAATTACGCTTTCTCATGATATGCCACATTTTCTAGTGAACTTTAAACTGCATTTTTATATTTAAACTGCAGGTTTTATATATAAATGCTTCCCCTTGAATTATGAAGAAGCTTATAATGGCATGAACTGGAAAATGACCCAGTCAGCCATGCTTCTTTCTCCAATGCAGACATTACTACAAAGTGTTAAACGAGCCCTGAAGCAAGTGTTAAGTAGATCGTCCTCTATTTTTTACAGAGTAATGGTTAAACATTCCTTTAATATTTAAGGAACAATCCACGACATTCAAAAAGTAAAAATATTTTTATGCCTATGCTTTAGCTCTCCAGTTTACCTTGTTATCTCTTTACTAGTTGAGTGTTTAAAAAGTAAATGCTAAACACTTAGGTATTACAGTGAATGACAATAGCTATAGAATTTCTTTTTTTTTTCCTTTAGATTTTTAAAAGATTTTTTTATTTTATTTTTTTCATTGAATTTATTTTCTTTATTTTTTCAAATACATTTGTCTCTGCCTTCCCCCTACCACCTTCCCCTGCCCCTTCCCCCCTCCCTCCCTCAATCCTTCCCCTTTGATTTTGTAACTTAATTAAACTTGTGTGACTTTATAAACCTTGAGATTATAAAACCCACCACAGAGATGCCCAAATCTTTGCCAAAAGTGAGTAATTAATCCTGCGCTCAAACTGCTACAAAAGCCGAATGAGAGGCCAGTGCTGCAGCCCATGCCATTTGTCTGCAGGGGAGAGGGTGTCGCCTCCTCACATCCTGGCCCTCACGCCCCTGGCCTGGTCCTCAAGCTCTAGCTTGGCGACTGCCAAGAGGTGGACTTCGTCCGGTCCGTCTGCTAAGCGCAAAGTCCGCATGAAGGCATACCTGGGAAAACACGAGGGACAGGGAGGGCAGGAGTTACCACAGGAGCCTGGGACCTTAACGTCGGTCACTTTGATTCTAAGTCAAACTATTCATTTCTGAAATCTGGAAATGATTTAAAAAAAAAGAGCACAGGGTTAAGTCAAGAAGCCCAAGGACTTCTGAAATGCCGTGTCCAAGTGGTGCAGTGCGATGGGCTTATCTCAGGCTTGGGTTGCTGGAAGTTACTGGAAGTTGCTATAGCACTAAGATCTCATAGGTAAACTGCAAGCAGTGAAGTATAAATATATAATACTTACATACTAAACACACATAGTACTATGTATTTAGCTCTTTCTTACGGTTAAAAATTAATGGGCGAACTGATGGGGCGCCTCCCTGGGGGAGAGGGGGTGGCAGTGGAGGCGAGTATTCCTTCCTGACCCCCGTGCCCCGGATCTGGGCACGGGAGGGTCACCGGCCTGCACTGCTGCACACTGGGCTGCGGTTTCACTGTGGAGGCTGAAGCATCCTAAGAATATGCCTCAGCCTGGCCCTGGGCTCCCTTTGGCTGCCTCTGCCCTCTCCTTCCCTTCCTGATTCAGGGTGAACCCCCTTGCTGTTTCTTCTACCCAGAAACCCCAATGTGAAAGGTAACATATTTGAGTGAAGTGGCCATTGCAGTCACAAGAGCTTTATATCAAAGCACCAATATTATCGTTGAACCTTGAGCAATGCGGGGGTTGGGGCGCTGACCTCCTGCACAGCTGAAAATCTGTCTACAACTAGTACTTGATTTAGCCTTCAATTACACTTTAAAGTAAATTAGTACCTCTATTTTCTTAAACAATTAGGGGCAAGGCACCTGTAGATTTATAACTCCAAGGCAATCAAATGTAGATGGCTATTAAATAACATCTACTCACATGTTAGCCAGAGGGTAATCCTGGGAAACGCCTGCCCCTCCGCACACTTGGATGGCCCGGTCAATAATTGTGCAGATGGCCCGAGGGGCAGCCACTTTAACCATTGCAATCTACAAAAGCAAGATAGGAAAAGAATGTTCCTTTCTTCCACAATACACCACGTGGCAGAATTTGATATAATCTGTATTTTCTCTGTGAACTCTAACAAGGGAACTTTTCCACATGCATTCACCACTAAAACAGGATTTCTGATGAAAGCCAACAAAGAGATCCGCTGTAAGGCAGCCAGTGGCCATATTTCAGTCAATACAGACCTTCTGGAAAGAGATATCTCTTCCAAGTCACATTTTATAGATTTATGACTTGCCTTGTTTCCGAAAGAATTTCAGGCAGCTGATAAGTTACATTTATTACCTTAGGGATCATAAAAAGTGTTCAAGAATTTTCAATAATCAATTTTCTCCCAGCAATTATATTTGCTTTTATAATTAAGCGATCATGTTTTTTCCATATAAGCCAGAAACATAAGGTGGCAGAGGACAAGAAATTTTATGAAACATTTACTGTGCGGCAACACAGCGCTGTACAGTCTATATCATCTGGGTCATTCTTCACTAGAACCCTAGGCTTTGGGTGGAAGGGTTAGATACTTTGCCCAAGGCCACAAAACTGACAGAAAGTGACATACTGGGTACAATTCCAAGTCTGTATAAAGTTGAGGATTTCCCTATTCCCTGTTGCGGCACCCAAAGAATGCTGAAGATATTTTGCATCTTGAAAATCATTTTCTAAAGCAGCTCAGTGAAAGGAAAGCTAGCAAGCAACATACATTTGTAATCTTTAAACCAAAAACCACATGGAGGCTTCCAATGTTCTCAACGCCATCAAAGTGCCATAAATCTGATGTGCCCTTTGGAAGGGACTCTGGAGAAGGCTCGAGAGGTGGCGGTACAAGGGGCCTCACCTCCTTCCTAGCGCGAGTGCTGCCCAGAGTGTCAAAGCTGTGGGCGGCTTTCAGGGTCAGCAAGCGGACCTCTTCAATGGCAATGCGACTTTCAGCAATCCAGTGGGCCACAGCCTCCTGCAGGGGTCAAAGGACAGCCAAAAGGCGGAGGTGAGCTGAAAGGGGGAGATGTCTTACGTCACCTGTAACGTGGCCTTGTAGTTTGGTGGAAACACTCTAGTCCAAGGACTGTTCCCAAGCCTTACTCTATATGTTTTTAAGTGGAAGAGTGTTTTTCATTTGATACTTCACTAGCTGTAGGACCATCAGGTTACCTATATCACCTTTAGTGTGACTTTGGTGGTTGTGGCTTTTGAGGAATTAAGTCTATTGCACCTAACTTGTCAAATTTATGTGCTCTGCACACATGCCCAGCTCGGGAGTGACGGAGACTCTACTCTGGCCTCAGCTCCAAGCCCGTTCTCCCCTTTGCCCGACAGCTCTGCATTGTGGTTCACGAGCACTGACACAGGCTAAGAAAATGGTACTTCCAGCGACTTATACACCAGGAAAGTAGAAAAGAGGTACTTTACCCTATTTTTCTTGCTAAGTGCAACTAAAAACCTTGGCGTCATCTATAAAACAAACCTAAGAGGACTCCAAAAGGTGGAGAGAAGGTGGCAGTCTTACTAGGGACTTCCAGACTACAGGAACAATTTGATGGTGACTTCCCTGGGTTTTCTTTTTGCCTCACATATCTTGGACTTGGAGCTGAAGGAGCCGGCAACCTAGAATTGCCAATGAACACAAAGAATTATGGGGAAAAAAAAAAAAAACAGCCCAAGAAAAGCATACCCTCTTCAGATGAAGGATTGGGTAGGGGCAGCCTAGCAAGAAAGAAAACTTATACAGAATAATCACTCTACCCAAGCAAACGCCACAGGAAAACCTTCAGCCCTGCCCCTACTCATGCCAGCACAGACTTCCACCCGCATCAGCGCTACAGTGAGGTGCCTCAGCGCCCGTGCCAGGGTCGTATCTGAATGCCCAGTAAGGAGCTGGGCAGCAACAAGCTCCATTCTCCCTGCGGTGTCCCTGGACTTCCACCTCGCCCCCTTCAAACAAGCCACCAGTTGTGGATTTCCTTTCGATGGCTGTAAAACTGGGTGATTGCAATTTCATGAACAGACCCCAAATGCATTTACTTCTTAGCTTCAGAATAAAGGAAGGTGTTTTCAGCTGGGTCTCTACAGATCCTAGGTTTGCTGCAAAGTATGAAGTGGGTAGAAACTGAGCGCTCTAAGGAGCTAGCAGATTATTTATTAAGACAGAACCTTGATATATAGCTGTTAGTCTTATTGCCTGGAAAAATTGCAAGGCAGCTGGAAGGAGTCTCCAAATTCAGGGAAAAGGAATGTTACTTTCACAAATTGGTGGGGGGAAAAAAAAAGCTGGCCCAGATTTTTGTTTATGATGTGCGTACACATCTTTTTTTACTTCTGCCAGATCCTTTTCTTTGTGCCAAATGCAAGACGTTTCCAGTGAAGGGAGTCATATTTTTGAAAAGCCCAGGCTTGTTCTGCTTGATACATGAGTATGAAAAAGCAGGAGGGAAATTTCCCTTTAATGAAGGATTAAAGGCTCTCTCATGAAAGCAGCGACGGAGCAGAGTGCTTGTGCATGTTCAAGATGCCTGCCCATCTGCCAGGCTGTGTTCCCTCCCCTCACCCTGCGCCAGGGGCTGGATGAGCCCTTGAAACGAGGAGCAAGGGGTGAGAGTCGATGCCTTGAGCAACATTTTCTCTCCTCCCCCAGTAGCTGTGGGGAGCTGTAGCCACAGCCCCCAAACTCACACCTGCTGACTGCCTCCCACAGAGCCCACCCAGAAGGGGCCCCGCCCTCGGTCTACCGAAGGGCTAGTGATCCCTCCGTGTGTGCCCGGCAGCAGGCTGCATTTTTCCACAAGAACACTGTTATAACCAAATCATAGATATGCTGAATAATAGTTTACAAAAAGTAAACATAGCCTTAGAAAGGTAAAGTAAAAAAAAAAAAATACACTGCAAAATTTTGTAAGATGGTCACAAGTGTACCTTACAAGGGGATCAATGTACTAAAATATACATGTCCAGCAAACACAAATACAATTTCATCATGACATGTTTGGCACTAATGTATTAGCAATTGTAAGTATTAAATATTTAATGATAATTTTTCTTGTTTTCTTAAAATTTAGAAGGGCTTTTGGGGGGATGATTTGGATATCCCACTTCTTAAAAAGTTTTCCAAGGAAGTCTCAAATGATAGCTGCTTCTCTCTTGATAAATGTTTTCTAATTTTGATTATATTGCCTACATGTAATGTTGTTCATTGTGCTCTGAACAACAGACTCAGTATGTAATCTATAGGTGAAATTAAAAAAATCATGAACATCCCACCCAATGCTGGTTTCATTTCTGCTCACGTTTCTGCAGGGAAGCAGTCCACTCTGTTTTTAGGTCTCTCTCCGTTCAGCGAGTGTTAGGCCATTTCCCTCTACCTTTATCCTTATCCGTCCTAATTCCTTCCAGAAAGCCCAGAGACAAAGCAACCCTGCTCCTGTATGACAGCCCTCACATGTCCACATCCCAGTGTACCAGGCTCTCCAGAGAATGAGTCTGAGAAAGTCAAGGAACTGTTCACATTCCGTGTGCCGAGGTGCTGAAGCACGTTAGGAGTTATTTAATATTTCACAAGTAGCTATCTCTCATCAGACTCTATTTAAATACAGATGTACATATACTTTGGGGAAAAGAATCGCCTTGTTTATGTAGAGGAAATCTCTCTCTGACCAAGGAATGCTGTTTTGATTCAGGGCTAGTGTAATGTGTTGCACTATGATAAGCTGAAATAAATAATTATGCTTACATGTGAATACAGTTTCTTCTTAAAGGCCACCCTTTGTGTTGCCCGTTCACACATGATCTGCAAAGCACGTTCCGCCACACCTACTGCTCTCATGCAGTGATGGATCCTGCCAGGTCCGAGGCGGCCCTGGGCAATTTCCAATCCCCTCCCTTCACCTGTGAGAAAGAAAAGGCAACACGACAGTGACTGCAGCCCATGTATTGTGTTAGTCACACAAATCTTGAGAAAATGATGAGCTGCCTCAATACAAATGGCATTCTGTATTCTGATAGGAAAAAAAGTCAATTCTATCATCAGGTTCATTACAGCTTTACAGAACTTTTGATTTCTAAGTTTTTAAACCACCATCAGTAAACACTGTGATGAAATTTAAGAACTGTCCCTTGAACACTGACTATGCATAAGCTCTTTACTAACACTGCAATGGTTACAAAGGCAGGTGAGACACCGTCCCTACACTAGGGACGAGGGACAAGAATGCCAAGGATAAGGGATATGGAGAAGGACAAAGACAGCACAGGAGGATGAGGCTGCGACCTTAGGGCGGGGAAGGCACCTGGGCTTGTTGAGTGCACGGCATGAGGAACACCTGAAACAGGTGCCATTTGAGGTTCCCCGAAGGCTGGTAGGATTCCAGTAAGCAAGAGGGTGGGGTCATTCCAGAGAGAGTGTTCAAAGTTATTATGCTTCTAACATGTGCGAGACTTGAATTCAGAGAGGGCTGAGGTTCTCTGAAAACAAAGAGAGGCCTGAAGATCATGCTCTAGGAAAAAGTGTGTTGCTCTGAAGTATATAATTTGTTAGCTATGTGTTCAGTTGATATGCTAGAAAACCACAAGCAATGAAAAAAAACATTATTCTCTGCAAGAAGACCCACAAAATGGAAAAAAAAATGTTCCCTTGTAAATGGAATAAGAGGGAAAATGAAATTAAGGCAAACTTCCTATCTTTTCCATATTTAGGCTTGAAAATATTTTAATACACAATACTGTAGAATCATTTTTGCAAATTTATCTCACCTAGTATTAAGTTGGTGGCAGGAACTCGCACTTGATTAAAATGGATCTCAAAATGTCCTCCATGCAAATAATCTATCAAATAGAAAATAAAATTTTAAAGAGCAGAAGGAGTTCACCAAAAAGAGAGTCTCATATAATTAACCTACTGAAGTATAATCACTCAAAGAAAGTAGGGGTTAAATGCCTGGTATATCACAGACCTTCCCGGGTAGATCTGAGCCCTGAACCCCCAGCATCGCATAGCCCAGTAAACACATCAAATATTCAAGTCAGAAGAGATTTTAGAAATCATATCACCCATTTCGACCACATTCTCTGAAGCTGTAGAGCCTTTAAAATGGAAGATAGCTCCACAGCTCCGCTCAGACGATTTTATTACTGTTTTATTATTGCTGCTTCTTTGAAGTTTTTTTATAAAAAAGGGGCTTCCAAAGAAAACTTTGCTTGGGGTGGGGGGGGAGAAACGTTTCTATAGTTCAAAAGTTGAAAGTGAGTAATGTGATGTAAATTTCTTATTTTTTCATTGTAGAAACCAATGCCTGAGGATGTGAAGGGGCCTCTTGGAAGTACAAAGCAGGCTTGGGATCAGAGATGAATCACACGGTGGCCCTTCAGGAATGTGTGCTCCCAGCCTAGATTTGTTCACTACATGCCCAATCCTGAAAACGCTGGCATTTCACTGGAGCGGGGAACACATTCACATTTCTGTCCTCGTGGCACCCCTGTCTCCGCCAAGTTCTGGAGGTAATCTCATGCTCTCTCCACACCCTTTTCCTGTCAGAATAGACATTAGTAATCAATTTTCTCCACACTATTTCTTTTGGCCTTGGGCACAGGGACATGGAGAGATGCTGGTGAATTGGTCATAATGAAAATTCTAACACAGGCTCTGCAATGGAGGGTATTTGCAGCCAATCTCTGTTATAAACCCGTCTCAGGGGTCGTTCAGGCTGTTGGCCTGCAACCCCACTTCCCGTGTGCAATCTGCTTCGGTGAGCTTGTTCATCTCCCTTTTGTCAACGTTTAACCTGTGGGTATATTCGCTGCAGCATCCTACAGAGGGTGATCATGTCAAATGGCCTATAAAACTGCAAGCCTTACATCTGTTACTCAGACATTTTCACTAGCCATATTCAACAATAACGAGAAGACCAGGTCACCACAGAACCAGAAGGTCAATAAACTTCTGCAGCATCATCACCTGCTGTTTAATCACCATGTTATCAAATATACTTATTGACATGTTTGTAGTTATTTCCTCCCCTTGACCCCCATGTAAGCTCTACAAGAGCAGGGATCTTAGTCTACTGTTTTCACTAACGTATACTAAGCACTGAGAACAGTGTTCAGCACTCAGATTCTTGCTGAGCGAATGGCGGAGCTGCAGGGAAACCATGGGCACGAAGCTGACGTGGGTGGCAGGAAATAGAAGTGCCCTTGCTTCTTAGAAATTCCATGCACAGACAGAGGGTAAGAAACGTTTTGCATTCAAATCAGTCAGAACTCCTTGCTTATTAAGAGCCCTTATGGGTTGACCGATGAAGCAAGCTAAATGTGAATTTTATTGTGGATTGATTAGATTTAATTTTTCTGTGTATATTTCATTAATCCATTCTCCTGGATGACAGAGAGAAGACTGGCCATCAGAGTTGCTGTTCCTTGAATACAATCTGCCCTTTCCCAAAAGTAAACAAAATGAGGATAGGATGCTGCACCACCTCTATTTTTATTTGTTGGCATTTATATTAAGGCAGTTGTTAGGGCCAAAAGATTTCTAAGAACACATCTCATACATTAAAATACTACCTATTCCCTTCAGTAAAACTGCATACTCTAGTCTTCCTGCACAGTCAAGGTGACTGAGCACTTACCTACGTAGCCAAAAACTGACAAAGGCCTTATGACTTCTACTCCAGGTGTGTTGAGAGGAACAAGAATCATACTGTGTTGTTTGTGTCTGGTCAAAAGAAAAAGAGATGTTAGGAGAAGTCTGCTAAGTGGAAAAATAAAACATATTAGGCAGAATTGCAGTTATTTTTGTTGTTGTTATCATGTGATCACGTAAGCAATGCTATCTGGGATGGGGTGTGAAAAACACACATCAAACAAAGTGGCATGCAGGCTGGGATCCGAAACAGTAACAAGGATTGGAAAATATGTAAAAGTTATCTAACTGAGGTTTCTCATTGCTCAACAATGGGAACTGATATCCAGTGTTAAACATTTCAAGATTATTGCCTTTGCCTTAAACATCATTTAATTACAGACAGTTCTGAAAAATTTTGTCCTATAATCTGACCAAAAAAACTTGAGGATACACAGCAACACTTTAATACAGGAAATTCCACAGTGATGAATGTACAGCAACACTCCCTAAAATGTTGCCTAAATATAGCTTTAAGCAAAATAACTGTGAAATACAAATATATGACATTTAATATCGCAATATATCTTATATTATTATGATTTGTGAGCCCAAATGGTACATTTTAAGTAAATTAAGTGGGCAGAGAAAAAGACTGACTGGTAATCCTATGCAGATTTTCAGTCACAACTGTGTTATTACCTGGCTGCAGAGGTATCTTTAGTTCTTCCCAAAACAATCGCAATTTTGCACTTTGGATTACCAGCTCCTAAAACCAAGGGGAAAATGTGAAAAAAAAAATCATAATAGGAAATTTTTAGTCTGACATAATGCCCTAAAAATTCTAATCGTTCCAAGATTACCTCTGGCAAAAAAACAAATAAGAAAAACCCTTGATTTATTTTAAAAAAATAACACTTATGTACAAAACTGTATGTCGACTGAAGAAAAATGGCCCGGCAAGGCCAAGAATGGACTCCATCAATGAAAAAGGCTGCACAACAATGAGCAGGAGTCAAGCCATGAAGCAGCCATAACCCTTCAGACCAAAGGACAGCTCTGCTATTCTTGCCATGTCAGACCGCATACGCACTTCCTCCTATTCAGAGTTCATGCTGTTTGACACGGGGACAAGAAGGCATTAGAACTTATATGATATTTACTCCCCAAACAGTGGCTGAGAAACAGAACTAACTTCCCCAGCAGTGGAGCTGGGCAAGGTCAGCCTGCTGGCGTATCTCAGTCCCCAGCCCGGACCACACCGTTCGCCCTGGTGTGGGACAGGTGGCAACGGTGCGCTCCACAGATATGAGGCTCTCCTTCTGGCTACAGCAAACCTCGGTTCTCACTTGTTTAGGGGTAGAAATTTGAAAATATAGTTTTTCTCATTTTAAGGAACCTTTTATTACAGTTCAGAGGTCTATGGCCTTATTGCAAAAAAGTATATTTCATTTTTACCAGTAAATCTAAAAACCTGGTCCCACAAGGAAACTACCGCTTAAGTGGCTTTCTAATTACAAGGCAATAAACAACTGAGCCAGACTAAGTTAAACACACCTGTACAAACTCTTAAATTATCATACTTCTTCTAATTTCCTATAAAAAGTGGTTTCCAAAGATCTGAAGTGATATGATGATTCCAAGAGAAATGTTAGGAATGATGTCACATAGCTGAATGCTATAAAATCCCAGGAGTTTAAAAGGATAAACTGCATGGGACAAGTTAAAGGCCAATGCAGGGCTGTACTCAGTAAAATCCAGACTGGGAAATCTGTGAGACAAATAATCCCGTTTCTTAAACTATTAAATTGCAATAAAAGGAAAAAGTGCGGGTTGGGGTTTACAGATTAAAAATGACTTTAAAAGCATATCAACCAACAGCAATTTTTACACCTTATTTGGATCCTAATTCAATCACACAAACTAAAAAGTATTAATAATAATTATGAAACGATGAGAAATGTGAATACTTACTGGGTATGTAATGATACTGCAATAATTTTAGGTGTGCTAAGGGTACTCTGGTTACATTTTTAAAAGAGCCTTTATTGTTTATTGAGAAACATAACAAAATACCTGAAGGAAATGATGTGATATCTGGGATTTATTTCAAATAATATGGGGAGAGGAAGGAATGGGAATAGGGATGAAGCAGGATTGAATATGAGTTGAATATTGCTGTGTCTCAAAACTATTCAGAGTATTCCTAGGAGACTTAAATGTGTAGCGGAGATATGAAGGAGAAATATGCTGGCATGGTGAAATGTCTGGGGCCAGTCCCGTAACAGTGGACATGAAGAGCAGAAGATGACAGGGCCCAGAGGAAGCGAGGTGCCTTAACTGTAGCCTGACCGGGGACTGAGGAGAGGACGCAGAAAAGAATCAGTGCTAGAGGAAAAGATGATTAGGCAAGAAATAGAAAGCAAGGCAAGCAGGGGTTAAAAAGAATTGAAGAGTCAAGTTAGAGAGAACGAGTCTACTTTAATCCCTAGCACTTGCATTTGAAATTTTGAAACTGTACAGTTGAGTCTCTTGCGCTATAGAAAAAACAAATGAAATCGACTGCAAAACTATAGCTCTTGTCATATTTTCCATCTATTCAAGGGGATAAACAGAGAAAACCATACCATGGAAAGAGTCTACAATTTGCTAGAGTTCAGAAAGGAAAACTGAATTGATAGCTTTTTCTAAAACCAACTTGTAAAGATACAAGATGGCCAAAATTGTCTCCCATTGATGTAAAAATATAGAAGTACGATGAAGGTATAACCATAACAGAAAAAAAATACGCAAGGTGAGGCATAGGATTGGTGGTGTTGGTAGTCACCAACAGATGAGAGTTCCATAAATGTCTGGGACGCAGGTAGAGGCAAGCTGACCATGAAATGGACAGAGAAGTCAGAGGCTAGACAATGATGTAAGGAAGTGCAAAGGGAGAGGGTTCTGGCCCCGGAGTCAGAAGGGAAAACTGAGAAGTGAGGCTACAAAAGGGAGGTCAATCCCAGATTTGTAAGTGGGCAAGTGTATCAGGTGGCTCCCTCCCAGGTCAGTGCCTGATGGCCTGAGGAGGAAGGTCTGCCGTGTGTGACTGAAAACCTGAACAAAGTCATTCTGAGACTTGAAAGCGAGCTTCCCATCAGCTGACTCTGAAGCGAGTCCCAGCCCTGCCCCACCAAGCCTCCTGACGGAACTCCTGCTCAGGAGAGGCCCAGGGCTGGAAAAGGGCTCCCAGTTACTAACAAACGAGACCTTGACCAACTGCTCTTCCTTTTCGCTTAAGTAGGAACAGAAAACCAAGGATCTGCGGTATGTGAAGAGGGCTCACAGTGTTAAAGAGAGCAACTGTTCAAAATAAACTAAAAGAGACCCTAGAGGAACAAAATAAAGCAACAGAGAGAACTTAAACAAAACAAAACTGACCTAAACCAAACAACATAACCTCTAGTTAATGTAACCTGAGAGACCCAAATGTACTGCAGCCATAAAACCAGAAAAGGATGCTATGAAGCAGGAACAGCCAGAAAACAAGAAAATAAAAACTCTTAAAGATTAACCTATGATTGCTAAAACATAAAGTTTAATAGAATCGCTAAAAATCAAATCAGGAAAATTTCCATAAGCAAAGGAAAAAGTCAGATTAAAAACAGGGCAGCAAAGATAGAGATACTTAGAGCAAAAAATAAAGTCCAACATCAGAATAAAAGGGGTCCAATAAGGAGAAAAATAAAGGGAAGAACTCATCAAAGAAACTTGTAAAAGAAAATTTTCTAAAACTGAAAAATAAGTCTTCAGATGAAAAGGACCACTAGCAGGCAAGATGAATCTTCAGATGTGTGCTTGGGACGCTTCAAAACATCAACAACAAAAGGGAAATCCTAGATGGTTTCAGAGAGGAAAAAAAAACAAGTCCCCTACAAAGTAGTAAGGATTAGACTTGCATCAGACTGAAGACTAGGAGAGAGGCCTCCAGAAAAGAATGAATTACAGGTACAGTTTATAACTGTGTGCTGCTGTGTAAGAGGAGGTATGGCAAAAGCAAATAAGGCAATGCGAGAAAAACGGCAATTAGAAACTCCAGGAAAATACTTTCTACATGTACAAGTGAACCATGGTCCAAATATAAAACCAACTACAGTATGGCATGAACTGAAGTAATGCATAGAGTGTAAGATAAGCTATTCTAATTGACGTCGATGCTCCTTAGAATGGCCAGGGGGATATTATATTGCCTCAGTGAGAGAAGGGCACGCAGTCTAACATACTTAGTCCGGCATTGAACATTGTTAACAGAGTTCTACAGGGCAAGTGTACTATGTGTTGGTTTTCAAAGTTGAGTCACCCTGTGGTCAACCATACCATAGAGACACAACATATGTATCAGTTCTCCCGATAACGTAAAAGTAGAAGCTGTGGCTGACATAAGGTACAATATGGAAAGAAGGGATAAAAAGGTAAAGAAAGCAGTAAGTGCACTCATATCCTCATGTTATAAAGTTAAGCTCGAAAAGATTCTGTCTCTGAGGATGCAGAGGAAAGACTGGTGGTCATTCAAAGTTTAGAAGTAATCAAAATATTTGAAACAACAACAACAACATATATGGAAATGGCAGAGTTATAATACAAATGAGTGAAATTGTTATATTCAAATTGGAGAGTCAATGGATAGTGCCTAAAATGAATAAACTTGGAGAGAGAAAAAAATGTTTTACTTAAAATTATAGCACAAACCAGAGAACTAAAAACAGAAAATGTTAGAAGAGTTTTCTCTATGGTATGGTATTGGGGTGTGGATAAATGGGAAAAAGTATGCTCTTAGATATATTCTAATTTGTTGCCATCTCTAATTTAATAATAATAGTAATTTTAAAAGCATTTTAAAAAGTAGTCTACCATCTTGTAAACAAATATTTAGTTCACACTTAGGAGGAGACAGAGACTTGCTGAGTAAACTGCAATTGTTGTCTTTTTTTCCTCTTCCCTAATCTCTTTTTAATTTGAACGTTCAGCGTGGCTGTGAAGAAGCCATTTCCTGCATAGGGTGAGGCGTTTTCCCCACTTCGTCTATGTGATAATACAAAACTCCAGAAATCCTACATGCACACTCTGCCTTATAAAACACACTGATTTAAAAAAACACTAAAAATAACTTTCATCCGGGAAAAGGAGAAGCGGGGAAGAAGGCAGTGTGTCTAAACTGATGACTCAATTCATCCCCGGACTGGCAGTGAAATAAGGAGACACCTTAAACAGATTTAGGCCTCAAATCATACGACTGCTTTCCAGCCCTGTCAGAACATGCGATCATATCTGTGCATATTAATATATGATTCTATTCGTGACTAGAAAGTAAACGAGAAGCCTTTTAACTAACTTAGAACAGGACATTTTAAAAAATCAACGTTAAGTTGGCTATTAGATACCACACAGTAATCAGATAACAGATATGTTAGGCAAAACTTTCTCTCCTATTTTTTTCTCCAAATGTCTGACTTATTGTCTATATTACACATGAGGTAAAGAGCAAAACCATTTTTTCCCACCTTCTGGGCTTTTGCAATGTAATCATTACTAAGTCCAATTATTTCAAGTAAAATTAAAAAGTTATGATATTAAAAATAAATGAATGTTTTTCATTAAAAGAAAAATGCAATCATTTTCATAAATACAAGAGACATGTAATGATCAAATAGAACACTTTACAAAGCCCTGAAAAGTCAGCAGTATGTGTATTAACATTAGAGTGTAAGGACCCTCAATTCAGTTCAAGCA